CGGTTTATCGTGGATGTTAGTATATGCTAAGAGAATTGATTTCATTAGCATATTAGAAGTTCAACTAATCTTAGGAAGAAATGAATTTGTTCGTTTGAAGTGAAATTTTCAAATTTAAATTTATAAAATCTTTATTATTAGTATTTGATTTCGATCATTTAATGGTGGAATTTTCGAATCTAGATTTTACGAAATTCTTACCATTAATGTTTAAATTTAAAGTAAACCAAAGGCATGAAAATCGATCAATAAACTAAAGTATTGTTTTTCAAAAATGGAAAATTAGTACTTAGTATGATTATGTCAATAATTATTAAAATGAAAGAAAGCATTTAAAGTGCTTATTTATCGTCGTTTGTAAAAAAAAAAAAAGAAAGAAACAGAGAAGATATATTCGTTTCAGAATTTCATCCGTTGCTTTAATTTAAAAATTAAATTCTTTTTTTGTTGAATCTAGAAGGAAACCAATTAATCTTATTCCATTCATTTTATATTTACTAAATTCAACCGTTTCATTTCTTTTCATTTCATCACAAAAATTATTCCAAAAATAGTTTCGCCTTTTTGTCCCATTTTTTTAAATTTGAAAATTAACATTAAACTATTTTATTCGCAAATATTTATTTGTTCTATTAAGCTAAAATATGCAACTCATTTCAGTTTTAAATAATATTTTATCGAATACTTCAAGCCGTGCATCAATGAAATGAGATTAAAACGCTGAAAGTTAATGACATGAAATTAAAAAGAGTCAAAAAAAAAAAACATTATATTCGAGCACGCGCTATGCATTTTAAACATTATTTTCAATTTCTATCACATTTATCTCACAAATAAAAAATGAATATTTTTCATTAGTTTTTTGCTGTAAGTGTTCAATTTATAAATGTTCGAGCAAGTGAATGATTACTTGAAGATGATAAAGTTTGTTAAAATGGTAACATTTTTCAATTTTCAAAACTTATCGAACAGTAGCATTCAAAAATTTGAATAGCTAAAAAGATAAAAAAGGCGAAGTTAATTTGAATTATATCAAAATATCAATTTATCGTAAGAATAGCTGCTACAACAATAA